AATGAAAGGGGCATACAGCCCATTATAATACAGTTCAGTAAGTGTTACATCTGTTTAAAAGTGGTGTGTCCACTCCTTCAGATTCCAGATGTATCAAAGACATAAATATTAAAAATGGGACTATATAAATACAAGAAAAAAGTTGAGAAATTTTATGTATAGTCTAAGAGTAAGGAAGACCTAAGTTTGACACAAAACTCAGAAGCTATGAAAGAAAGCTTGATAATACAGCCTCATAAAAACAAAAACTGTAATATATAATAATAATGCCTACATGGCCAGACATCTTAACAAAGTCTCCCATCCAAGTACTAAGCAAGCCCAACCCTGCTTACTAGCTTCTAGGATCAGACGAGATTGAGCGCGTTCGGGGTGGTATGACCGTAGACCATAAACAAAGTCAAAAGAGAAAAAGTGAGGGGAAATTATAAAATAAATCCCAAAGAACTAATTTTCTTAATAGATAAAGAGTTCCTACAAATCAATTAAAAAAAAAAAAAACCATACCAGAAAAGTAGATCGTTAACTGAAAGGAAATAAACATTACCTGTATTATTGAAAATTTCAAATTTTAAAAAGGAAAAAGAATAGCATAATAAACTAATATACTTATTGAAAAGTTCTTTGATTAATGCCTTTCTTCCTCTCTGGACTTTAAACTCTCTAAGGACAGGGACTATGCCTTATTTCTTTGGCGTTTCAGCCCAGTGTCTGGTCCATGGTAGATATTCAACATATCTGAGAATTCATTCTTTCACTCAACAAATATTGGGTCAGGTGGGCACTGTGCTACATTCTGGAGATAGGGTGCTGAGCAAGGCAAACTCATTCACTTTCAAGGCTTCCATTCTAAGAGCAGTTAGAAGATAACCAAACACACACATATACCATAGAAAGTAATCTAATGGTCAAGACCCTGTTGGTCTCCAAACAGGTATTAATTACATTTTTCCACACTGTTACCCCCATTAGGCATTTTCATTTTCAATGATTTCTTCTATTAAAATAACTTTGGTATTTGAATTCTTAAATAATGAATTTATTTTTCACTAGACCTTAATAACAGTTACAAAATAGAAAGGGAGGAAAAATCTACATTATCCAAACACAACGACTTTTGGCATTAAAGCATATTTCTTTCTTGTGTTTTCCACAAATCTTTAATATCCCAGTGGGCACCGAACATGTAATGTTCTCTGCCTTTTAGATCAGACACTTAATCTTCCGTCATTCCTAACCAAGATGAAGAAACGTGGCAAAATGATCTCTTTCCAAAAGGAAAAAGGGTTTCCATAGCAGCCATGGTTTCAACTCATTCAATCCCTTCTGCCCTTTTCAAGACCAGCATTTTTACCAAAGCTGAGCAGCCCTCCAGCACCTCCCCCTTGCAGTGATTTGCTGCCTCTACATTTAAAGGGGCCCATTTTCAAATAGATGGAAGAGGTGCCTCCCACCTGCCAATCACTGTCTTTTCTCATGTCTTTCTCTCCTCCATATTCTTGATACTGCACCTGGAGAGGATTTTATTTCTCTTACCTCTTCCTCGTGCTTTTCCTATTTGTTAATTATTAAAGAACTTCTTCCAGCTTCTTGGAACAAAAATTGCTATGAAGTGCTCATGAGCTAGATTTTGGGAAAGAAGCAGTCATTAGGCACTAGGAGATGAAGAAATTGGTAAAGAGCTGCCCAGACTGCGGACCACATGAGCCATCTGAAACTGAAAACACTCCCTGTCTTCCTGAGGAAATTATGGGTAGCAGGAGGTTCTGGGAGATTAGTAAAGCACATGTTGCTCTCAAGTTTATCCTGAGTTGGCAACAGTATTTGAATATTTTTCTTTAATAGTAAGCAGAGGTTTATAGACACTTCACAGATTATGAATGAAAAGAAAGACTATCTCTCCTATAGACAACAGATAGTTGGGAGCCGGGGGAGTGGGGGGGGGGGGCCATGTCAAAATAAGTGGGTCACCAAAGTGATTTTTGAAAACTGGCTGTGAGAGTATTCTGGCTCTGCAGGAAGTGAAGCATGACAATTTACTAGCCTGGTTCCTTCTTTTCTAGCAAAATAGCACACCACATTAATTCTCTTTACATAAGGACAAATGAAAACAGGCTTGCAATGCATCACAACCAGAATATACTTAATAAGATGATGTTGAACAATGAAACTTTTAAGGAAAGTTACAGTACTGGTATCTTGCCTCAGAGTAGCATTTACATGCTAATGATTTAGAAGAGGTTATTTCACTGGGGGGTGAGGGAAAGAATGTGCATATTGGGGAAAAAAAGGATTTATAGTTCTTTTTGCCTACACTCCAACTTTAAGAAAAACAGATTCTTGTATTTCAGCATAAGATTCCTTGAGTGGTAAATAATATGAAGTATTATGACTTGACTTCTTTCTAAAATAAATGCCACTAACACATCCCAGTACAGTTTGATGAACACAAAATACCATGCAAGCTTCAAGGGATAATCTGACAATATCCCTTCTAAAATTTTTAGCCTCTAGAAGCAACAATGCCAATCACTTTTGAGTGACATTTCCAAGGTCATTAATTTGTGAGTTTTAAGGCATGTGAAAGCACAGTGCCACCACAGACTAGCTCAAAATTATCAGTCATTTGGAATCACAGCCCGAGACTTTAAGCTTTGATCTTCAAGAAGAGTGGTTCACCCCAAATACTTGCTTTCTCTGGACTCCTTCATCTGTTAATAGTTTGGGCCCAATTTTTCAGATTTGTACATTTTATAAAATGGGATCATGTTATACACATGAAACCAAGAGAAGCAGCATGTTCACTTGCCAGTGTCCAATATATCCTTCCTACAAAAGCTCTAAATACTGACAACAACAAAAAAAACTTAAAGAGTGGGGGAAAAACCCTTCTGCTAACTCATTCCTCACAGAGAAACATTTATTATTTCCTGGGGCAGTATGCTGAATTTCTGCTTCTACAGCTGTAATTTCCAGTTGTGAATTCTGGAAGGGGCTCAGGGAGCAGAAGAGGAAGGAGTCAAAATCCTATGAAAGACACATTGCTTTTAAGGGTACTGTAATGAGATTTGCAGAAAAGTTATTGATCCGTGCCCTTTAGTTTTATTTCCAATATACACTATAGTCATGTTATTTCCCTATGAAAGTTCAGTGTATTCACCTAGGGACTTGCAGCACAGGGCAAATAGCAAGCCAGAATTCTGGAGTGTTCATTAGTAAGGAGGCAAAAGTTCTTCACGGAAATCCAGGCACCAGGCAAAGAAAGAAGAAAAGCAAAGTTCAATTTAGAACCATTCCCCAGCCTCTCTGGATCACAATGTGAGTGATCAAAGAACATGGAAGTTCAGGAAGGAAGCAAGAATAAATAAACATGTGTGTTCATATATACGTAGGCATGTAATAGTTCTTAGTGGCGCTACTCTACTAAACTCTAATCATGACCTCACCTGGTGCAAGCAATCCTCTAAGATAGGATTATTTTCTTCAGATTATAGAGCTGGCATTCAAAATCAGGTCTGCTTGACTCCAAAACCCATCAAAACATGTGCTTTGAAATGATCTATGGCAGGAGATGGGTGGAAGATGGTTTCTTCACCAAATGCATTTTTTTTTTAAACACTACTTGTTTGAGAGAAAGAGAGAGACCTAGAGAGAGTGAGGGGAAGGGCAGAGGGAGAGACCCCTCAGGCAGACTCCCCGTTGAGTGCAGAGGCCGACACAGGTCTCGATTCCATCACCCATGAAATCACGACCTGAGTCAAAACCAAGAGCCAGACACTCAACCGACTGAGCCACCCAGGTGCCCCATACCAACTGCACTTTTGAATGAAGTTTTCAAGGGAATTAATTTTTGAAGAGTTTTAAAGTATAATCAAAATCAATGTTATTTAGATATATCAAAGAATATAGAAAATACAAATAGAACACATTAATTTTTCCAAAGTATATAAAGTCTGAGGAATTCTAAGTAAGCTATTCTTTCTCCTTAAATTTGTTATTTGCTTTAAAAAAAAAAAAAAAAACTTTTAAGTCCTACGTACAAACAGTAGAATTCCCTTAGCAACAGGTCCACAATATTATGATCCCTTCTACACACTGTCTGGCATCTCCCAGGAACTTACATTATTTGAGCAACTGAGAAGACCTGCTCCACTTTGCCCTCTGTTCTCACATGAAATTGCAGCTTCCACTGGTTTCTTTCCCCCCACCCCACTGTGACAAATCCCTGGTAAACATGGAGGGTTGGGCGGGGGGAACAGCAGAGAAGGGGGTGGGGAGAGAACAGAGACCTGTGTAGAGTATATCTTGGATTTTCTAGAAAAGCCTCAATTTCAAGTATCTTATCCCATGGTCAAGTGATATTAGTCTATTATGCCCGGAACTCTGGTTTGGCAGACATGATCTCTCAGTGTATGAGTCAAGACAGAGTTAGAACTGTAGTACAATTTCAGTTTCCCCTTATAAAACAAAAATTATGAAATCCAAATCCTATTAGCTATTTTAAATAGATAGAGGAATTCCTGAAACCTATTTGCCTTATTGGCAAATATCACCACACATTAAAGAAGAAAGCATAGGACAGAGGAAAGACCATAGAGATGCATTCAACTCCAAGGCCAGCCACTTTTTCTGTGACCTTGAACTAATTACTAGTTTCTGAGCCCCAGTTTCCCTAATTGTAAAATGTAGATACTAATAAGTAGCTCATAAAGTGGTGGTGAGAATTAAATGAGATACTATACATAAATGCCTTGAATATGCTTAGTACTTAATATTCAATAACTACATTTTTTTATTTGAGTATGAACAATATGCTTGAAAACTTCTCAACTATATCAAAAACCAGCTGAATTATGCCTATTCAGCTATTTTCAGCAATCTGAGTTCCTATGGGCTCTAGTAGCCCAAGTTCAAGAAATAACATCAACAGAAGTTGTTCACCTATCCCCCATCCTAGAAAACGTAGAATTCTCAAAACAACAAACTGCATGCCCATTTACCTTGGTTGGTTCTCCACAGTGAGGTTCTCTCCCCTCTGATAGCCACTGTCTGCCACCTGGGTTGTAGACCTCTTCACAATTTGCTGTAGCTCCTGCTCCAAGCGTTCTTTGATTGCCTTAACGGTCTCTGGAATCTTCTTCAGTTTGGCCAGTCCCTTGATGAGGATGCCCATAAAAAGGGTGCTGTTCTCCTCTGGATCCGATTCCAAATCCTCCTTGATATCCTGCAGGTTAATCTCCCTTACTGTAAAAAAAAAAAAAAAGAAAAAAAAAGAAAAGAAAAAGGTTCCATTACAAGATTCAAAAACAGAATGGGTTGACTAAATGGGATCATAGCTTTGATAACTCCCTTAAAGGAATTAGAGAAGATTTTTTCAATTAAATTTGATTAAATTATATTTACATAGTGACTAAGAATCACAAAGTAACACTTACATTCCTCAAATCATATCCATCAGTTAAAATAAGAGGTGGAAGCCATTAAAAACAAGCAAATCACAGAAAGTTTTCCACAGACAGCCACTTCTACAATGAGCCAGTCAGTTCATGACATTTATTAAGCATTCACTGTTGATAAAATGCCATACTTGGGTGCTGCAGGAGAATTCTAAAGAGCCAGACCACAGTCACAAAACTCTTATTTAATAGTTAGAAAAGATAAGTAACTTGATAAAAAGAGATAAGTTAAACAAGGTAAATTAGTTAAAACAAACGACAAGCAATGAAGAAAAATGAAGAACAGCATGTGCAACGTGAGACAAGACTGAGGAAAAGAGTAATGAAGACTTTTCATAAATACAAAAGAACCACCTTCTACTTTTCTTTAAACACAGGTCTACCATAACATACTCTACTGAAAATAGGTCTTGCTAATCCATGTTAGTTTTCTGAGAAGTAATTTTATATGTCGAAAGTGTCTGTACATCTATAGCCTACAGCTTTCATCACAAGCACCTGATTTTGGAAGAAGACAGCCTAGCACAGTGGTTCTTATCTCCCACTGAGGAGCTGGGGAAAGGCAGGGATGAAGATCTGAGACCTCTGTTATCTACTGAAAACCATAGGCCTTCCCTTCAAACTAATGCACATACACACAAATACGTGCCCCAAAATACCCAAAAATAACTATCTCATTTTAAAAATAGTTGGCTTAAGATAGAATAAAGCAAAAGTGAGTAAAAGGCAGAAGAATGACCAAATTCCTAGGATCTTCTTTGCGACATGGAAGACATTTGATGACGTGGTATTCCATTTAAAAAAGCTTAATACTAGTAAAGTGAGAGTAGAACCAAGGTAGCTTAAGCCTCTGAAGATGACAATTTTGATGGCAAAAAAAAAAAAATAATGCCACTGAATTGTATAATTAAAATGGTTAAAATGGTAAATTTTTCATTATGTATATTTTATCATAATAAAAAATGTTAAAATAATAAAAAAAAATCAAAAACAAAAGGCACTGATATTTCCAAATGTGACATTCCAAGAATAGACATTTTAGTTACTGGTTTTATTTTATTCATTAAGAACTAGACCCCTCAGGCCATAGAATTCCTCCATCCTGCAAAACAAATCCCAAATCCCAGCAACAAGAAGAGAGAAATACTTAGCAGCCAAGGAGCCATCTAAATTCAGCATGTTAGGGGGTGGGGGGTGTGGGGGGAGAAGCAATGAAGCACAACTATAAGCAGAGCTTCAGGCAGGGAAAAAAGTAATAGAAATTTAACTGAGAGAAAATGATCTTCACAAAAGAGCACATATGAGTCACAAACAGACACAAGCAAAGGGCCACCTGTGTGTCGCAAGCATCTACCGCAAGAGTGATTGGTGAGGAGATAAACATAGTTAAATCCATGAGCCCCTAGATGGTGTGGCATATAGCTACTTATATTTGCACTAATATGATAGACAGCCTATTAAAAAATAACAAATAAAAGCAAGGTATGAATAATAAAATGCCACAGCCCCAAATGGCACATTTGTTTAGAACCTTATCTTTCTGTTTGTCTCCTGAAATCTCCTAGAGCATAAACACTAAACAGATCCAATATTAATTAATTTATATTATCTATTTCACTTACATCAGCTGAAAATTAAAAGGCAATTTAAAAGGATAATATAATCAACCATGAAAACTAGTCCAATAATTTCAAAAACCTGTAAGGTCAGATAGAATTATTGGTGCTTTATAGAAAAAGTCTTGTACAAAAATAATGTAGCTGAAATTCAGTAAGGGCCTCACACCACAATTAGAACAAAATGTACATACTTCCAAACAACTAAACACCAAATCATTCCCTTGTATCTATAATGATATAGTACTCACCGTGCAGGTTTTAGAACACTTTATAATTAGAAATACTGTACTCTCTCACCCAGTTCTCTCTTATCTTTTTGCTCTGAAGATACTTATCAAATGAGGATTTCTTGAACCTTGTTTTGAAGACCGTCACTGGCAGGACAGTGCTAAATATTAAGATTTTCATGTTCTTCCCCATTATTACTACTAAAATCCTATTGGCCCCAATTGTTCCTTATTACATGCATAGACAGGGAAGGAAGGAGGAAGATATGGATGTGGAGGTATACATGCCTAAATGGATATAAATCGTGTCTATGGTTTGAGGCTAAGCATGGATTCATGAAGGTTTAACTAAGACACTTTGGGACTCATGAAACAATTAACTAGATGGTATCTCCAGTCCCTTCAAGCTCCACAATTCCATGATTATATCAACTTAGAGTAAATCTATACATCTCTGGCTCCATGGCCTATAGCTAATTATGTGCACCTAGATTATAGATAGCCCATTTAAAAAAAATAACAGATAAAGTGAAAAATCCATTTAAGCAGGTAAGTGTTCTATAAAAGAAAACTACCTTTTGTTTCCCAGTGAGTACAGGAAGCAACATAGACCAGTCCATAACTGCTTTCTTTTCTTGGTACGTTTGGTAAGAAAATATTAGTAACACACACCATGGCTATATACACACGTCATCAAATCTGCACAAGAACCCTGGTGATACACTTTAACTTTGTCATGAATAAGCTTCATTATTTAACTTAACATTTATGCATGTTAAATTGTAAGAGATAACGGTAGCATTTACCATAGAAACTCCTGGTAAATGTCATGCTTTATACTATGCACGGTAACTAAAGTCTGTAAATATGATATATCTGATTTCGACCTACATACATAACTTCATTTACATGTTGTATTCAAGAACACTATGTCTATATAACAGGAGAACTGTGTCACTATTGAACAGTATTCAATATAAAAGGAGACTTCAAAAAAAATCACCAGGCCTAATTAACCCAATAAAGTACCAAGAGAATTACATATCTACAATGCTGCCCCCACAGACGGGAATCTGGCCTCAGAAGAGTGACAATACTCTCAAATAGAAAATAAGAAAGTGACCACTTAACAATAATTCTGGTCAAAATGGCACTATAAATTCATAGTTGAGATAGCCAATCCCAAAACACAGTTATACACAAAATAGAAACTAAGAAGTTATGAAGAAATAGTCTGGTTCAAAATTGAGAATAACACCTCTGTGGACAAGAAATAGAAAAAAAGGAGTGGAGCCAGAGGATGTGTCCAACGACCTCTGTGTGGAGAAGCAGGCCAAGGCGGGCAAGGTCTAGCCCATGGGGTGTTACAGAGACTTTACATGCAACCACTGGCCAGATGAGCTGACAAATCCCCCACCAAGGGCTACAAGCACAGGACCAAATCAAGCTCTAGACCTACGTATTCTTCTGGCCTCATCAAATCCTTATCTTCCATTCATGTCTCAGTGGAGATACCTGGTCAACTATTTATCTTAAATACCATTCGTTTTACCAATGAAAAATTACCTCTAACATCTTTTATTCTAATTAATGCACCCACTGGTACAGATTGAGAGAGCAGTCTCTGATGCACTGGTTGCCCCTGGAGTATATAATCTTGATTAGGGTCTTTCAAATGTTAACTAACTACCCCTGAAGTGTGGATTCCTGATTAAGGTACTTCAAAAATGTTAACTAAGCACCCCAAAGGTGCAGATTAAATTACTTTAAAGGAAACTACAGACAATATAACACCCTACTCCTGAAAGGAGGCTGCCAAAAGCTATTGCCAACTCTGCTACTAGGGGCTATCATTTACATGAAGCTAGGGGTTTTTACAGTCTCAGCACAGGAATAGTTACGACTCGGAGGTGGACACTGAAAGCACAATGAATGTGCGCTGGTCCGCCCATAAGTGAAAGTGGGCTAAGGGGGAAATGATGGTATGTTTCGGGGAAAGGTAGAGTGGAGGGTAGACTATTAAATAAAAAACAGGGTAGACTATAAAAACAAAAATGACACCTGTTCAGTTTCCCTTGAGACAGCACTTAACATACGTACATTATCTCTTTTAGAGCAAGGAGGATGCATCTTTGAAAGTCAAGAAGTAGCCACCAGTGGAGAAGTGGCTACTAACAATTTTAAGAGGGCAACAGGATAAGAGAAGACACAAGGAACAGATGAACAAATTGATAGTTTATATTAATATTCAATAATATGTGTTAGGTTTTGTAAGTTCAAGCACCTAAAGAGATAGCACGATGTAGTAAAAAGAGAAAGAAAAAAAAGAAAAAAAGAGCAAGAGCTGGGCATCATAGGACTTGAGATCTGATTACCAACTCTACCACATGCTAACTGGGTAAATCTCTCTCAAGTCATTAAATCTTGCTGGGCCTCAATTTTTCCACCTGTAAAATGGAAATAAAATGTTATCTACACAACTGTGTATATTAAATGAGGTAATAAGACATCAAAACACAAAAAGAAACCCCCAAGAAAATAAACAAATGTACTTTTAAAACTTCTAGCTTTAGGAACTCCTGGATTGCTAGAAACAACGGTAGTTACTTAGGTCCCCATTTCTCCTTATTTCCTCCAAAAACAAACTAGAAAAACCAGAAGAACAAACAAAACTCATACAAATCATACCCTCAGGATAACCTGGAAGACAGAAATGGCCCAAAATTCACAACAACTGTAAATAAAAATAAGAAAAAAAAAACACCTAATCCCAGCAATGGATCTCCCAGGCTCCTGCCTGACCCCTGCTCTGCCACAAGGCTTTGTTGCAAGCAAAAGCAGGCTGTTGAAGAACTATGAAGAGACAAGGGGGTTAGTGATGATCCTAAGATTGATCTACAACTATCTTCTAAAAAACACTATGCCCATCCTAAGTTTCAAAA